TTTTCAAAATCACAATTTATAGTATTTGGATTAGGATACATTTCTAGATCTTTAAATTTTTCCGTAATAACAATTAACATCTTTTCATACGTTGTTTGTGTTTTTTTTCTTATAAAATATATATAGCCGTAATGAAAACATTATTTATTTCTACTCTTATCACATAAATTTGTTGAAATATGTTGGGTGCGAGGGAAAAATTACTATCCATATACCATGAAGATGATTTTGTTAAATATCGAAGACCGTTATCGGTGGCAAATATAACAATTCGTTCTTCTGCCATTACACCATTGTCGTATAACAAAAATCTTGTTAAATTTTTATCACTAAGAGTACACCACTCGAAATCAACTTCGAATACTAAATCAACTATATTGATTGGACTCACAGGATTATTTTAAGATTTTTGTCGACATAATCTTCGTTTTACAATTTCTTCTGGCGGTATTCGTGCTTGAACTTCTCGGGATAAATTTGCAACTTCTCTGGCAAATACTTCAGCTGGTTTTATTTCATTCGTCTTAATAGTTTTTAGCATAATATCTAAACATTTTGTGACATCTACATCATTCTGATTACTTTTACATACCATTAAATACTGTCTTGCTATACGTGGGTTACTGTAATCTAATGTGATTTGACAAATAACCGGACATTTTAAGTTATTTGATTTCACACATCGCCATGATATTATTTTTTTTCCTTTATATTTTATAACTTACGTATAGCCAATTGAAAATGCCTTCAATCCCCCTTTATTTAAATTAATTAATTCCATTATATAAAATTAATTAAACAAAATATTAACTATAAATATGACTTAACAAATATTATAACAAGCTAAATATTATAAAAGTCACACTGACACACTGCACAAAATAATTCTATTATAATCACCGGTAAACTGCAATAATTAAAATCAATACTTCGATTCTACACCGATGTGACAGCAGATATTTGTAGATACAATTGTCGGCTTGTTAGCTTGGACTAATTTATAATATCTACTACGATATAGATTACAGATATGATATAGGTTATTGCATTATACTAAAGCCTCGTTTTTATATAGATATTATATCATTTAACGTTCATTATAAAATTTTAAATAATGTTAATTTTGATTTAAAAATTAACAATGTATCTAATTAAAAAAAAAATAAAAAAATAAAAAAATTATGTACAGATATACTATATTTTTATTATTTTTTTTTTTTGATTGGATATTTTCTCCTAGATTCATCTTCAATATAAAAAGTTTATAGATTATATAATATACCTATAGTGTATAAACCATGTTTAATTTATACTGCTTTTTTAATATTATTTATTATTGCTAATTAAATAATGTATTTTTTTATAAGATTTTATACCAAATAAAATTTGATTTCAAATTATAGTATCTACCTATTATAGTAAACCTTAATGCAGAATTTATGTGATGTGTGTATATAACTATAGTTATTGACAGTAATTTGTTGGTATTGAATTAAACTATAATTATAATTAGAAAACAGATAAAATAAAAATGTTGAACCCCCCTCTGAAAAATTCCTGTATACGCCCCTGTTTCATTATCTATAGCTCATGTTTTTGATGCTCATTAGAGTAAATAAATAAAAATACAAGTACCAAATTGAATTAAATATGTATTTAATAAATATATTTAAAACCTACTGCATATAAAATGAGTATTAATAATAACAACACAAATAGTTCTTTTATTAAAATTGTACCTTCAGTCTGAATCCTGTATAAAAAAAACAACAAATAATCATAGTATTAATAGTACCTATTAATTATTTTTTAAAAACTTTAAAAAACAATTAAGATAGATAACTTAATTTAACAAATATTTAAGTAGAAAACAAAAGGTTGGTAAGTAGTCAAATAATTAATTCCAAATTTCTTTTTTTCATTTTGGAAAATTTGTTGATTGTTTCATCAATGGATACAATAATATTTTTATGCATATGCAGAATAGCCTATTAGTAACATGTTGTAATAGGCTAAACTTGGCCTATTATTGATCTTAACCATGTTTTCAATTTACAAAAATATATTTAAAAATTTCGTGCAGGTATGGCCAATAACATTTTTCATTAGGAAAATTGAAATTTTTATTTAGGATACGAAGACAAAGAGTGACTTATATACTTATATACACTACCACGAGAACGTAAGTACGTAGTAATTGTAGCTACTACAGTAATTATAGTTAGTAAATAATATACTCACTCTCTTTAAAAAATAAAAGGTATATAACATAAAATACAACTAATACTAAACAGGTACTTATAGCTATGGATATTAGATAATAAATATTATTGGTTAGTTTTTGTCACAGACATATACATATATAATATTTTATGTGAAAATATTTATTATTTAGTTCTGTTTTATTTAATCATTCTTTTTAATTTTTAGTAATTATTTTTAATGATTCAAGCATAAATTTAAAACGGAGCTGGATTTTACCGATCTAGCCAGAGTGGTCATTGCCGTAAACACGCCTAAGAGAATATAGAAACAAATATTGTCAGTTATTATGATTATTATTTGAGTTAGAGGCTTCTAGCTCTATAAAATACACAAATATGTATGCATTTGTGCACAAAAAAAAAACTAAATACCTATGCACAACAAAAAGTACCAGATATTATGTTATAAAAAATAACGCGGGTAAAATTATTAAGGACTTACACAAGTATAGCTCTAATAAATACAAAAATATACAATATGCATAAATAAAACAAAAAATGACTAACTAGTAAATATGTGGTAAAAAATTGTTACTTTAAATTACTTTAAATTATCTGATAAATATTTTGGTTATGGTTGTAAATATCTATAACCGTAGCAATATCTGTGGAAGATAATACAACTATTCGTTCCACAACCAAAAATGTTATGATATATGAAGATAAACAAAAATTGATACCCGTGATCAAATTGACATATTATTGAATTTATTATCATATGATGATGATAGACTAGTAATTTATATTCTTAATTATTTATACATTACATTTTTTAAATAAATCAATGTATTATATTGAAAAAAAATACGAGCCATGGGAGGAAGAATACCCCCTCCCCCTCAAATACGTCCTTGCGCTGTACGTAAGATTATATGGCATACAATTTTCGCTTACCATTGTTATCTATTTAATAGTAAACAGCTAAAATTATTGTCTACACGATTTTAATTTAAATATTCGGTATCAATTGCAATCTTTTAATTTGGTAATTATATCAATATTATATAATATAAATAAAACAATTTAAACAATGAAATGTTGTATATTATAGATATTTTATTTGTATTTATTTCAATACAAATTTTAAGTACTAATATATTATTAACGTAAGTATAAATATTTTACTAAATATTAAGTTATAATCATTAATAATTATAAAAAACATATTTTAACTTGTTGATATGAATATTTTGAATGTAGAATATTTGACATGTGCGAAAATGAACATAAAAAATAACGAATTGTTGATAATTTTTATTGTTTGAGTTGACCTAAGAATAAATTGGTTACACAATATTATTAATATTTAATAATTACTGTGCAAACAACTATTTTAATAAAATTACACAAATAATTTAATATGCGATATAAAGAAGGATGAGTGTCTTTTGATTTTCTTATAAATTTTCCTAAGCTTAAGTTAAAGATGGAAAAATAAAACTAAGAAAATATTGAGTTTCTTCGGGCTAAGTTTTTTTTGTAAACTTGCATTTTTTATTGTGATAACATTTCTGCAATGACTTAAATTTAATTATTTTATTATAACTCAATATAATATAACCTAACCCATCTGTGTTTCTTTTTTTATAAGAATTCAAAAAAGTAGTCAAATTGTTATTCTCCCAAATATTTTTAATTTATTTTTATTACATTTTATATGTTTTACAACCTATTATTTTAGAATTCTTGGTGTTAAAAATTATGTACTTTTATACAAGTGCTATTCAAAATATCGTTTAAATACAAGTTGTGTATCTTCAAAGAAATTTTATTTTATATAATTTATTTTGAAATAATATGCTATTTTTTGTAAAAGCCCTAAAGTATTAAAAAAAATATTATAACATACTTGAAAACTATTAAAACATACTTTTAATATTTTAAGCACCACAACAAAATAATCTATTAATTTGGTTATTTTTAATGTATAACATAAGTATGCTGCAATAAATATTATGATACCAACATGTGGTATAAAATTAATAATGGCGACTGGGTTAAAATTATAGTGATATGAAAATTAAACTACTACAATTTCTTGTTATTCTATCATATTGCACTTTTTAATTATTGATTTAGTTACCCACTTTGCAATATTAACGTGAATAGAATACGTATCCTCAGAGGCGTATTTACTTGTTTCCCGTGTGTAGGCTTGTGGAATATTGTCGCTCTAAATAATTAAAATAATATAAAATACTAAACTAAATTATCATTTAATTATAATATAAAAATACATAATAATTAGATAAGTATCAAAACAAATTTTATTTAAATACTAAAACATTAATAATATTTAAATGATTTTAATTAATAATTAACAACAAAATACATTCTTCAAATTACTCGCTGTAGGCACGTGCCTATAATACTAGCATATAAATACACCACTGCGTATACTCATTCAGAATTATAAAATGAATAATGTTGAAATTATTAGATTAAATTTTTGTTCAACCAACTTAAGTTTTTTTTTGGCAATCCTTCTTGTAAGTGATAGTTCAGGGATATGTGTATAAGCAATTATATACTACTATAGTATTACACGAATATTTATGGCAAGAAACCGATATAAAATAATTATTTTCATGTCGACTCAATAATAATCCATACCGTAGTATTGTATAAAAAAATCCATTTATAAGATCCATATATCAAATGTTATTATACAAGTTACATAGGAAGAAGTATCTAGATATAAGGATAAAATATAATAAATAAAACTGTTCCAACAAGTTCAATTAATGGCAATTTTGAATTTTATTTACACGAAAATATAATAATTTATTTGTTCCTACAATTTATTTGGAATTAGTATTGTTTGTAAGCCGGGGCGGCGTATGAGGCCTTGTAAGCCGGGGTGGAGTATCCGTACGCTGGTGCTGGGGTGGAGTATCCGTATGCTGGGGCAGCTGGGTATGCTGGAGCAGCTGGGTAAGCTGGTGCAGAGTAAGCCGGGGCAGAGTAAGCTGGCTTGTAGGCTGGGGCAGAGTAAGCCGGAGCGGAGTAAGCTGGCTTGTAGGCCGGGGCAGCGGAGTAGGCTGGTGCAGCTGGGTAAGCCGGGGCAGCTGAGTAGGCTGGGGCAGCTGGTGCCTTGTACGCGGGCTTGTAGGCCGGGGCGGAGCTGTAAGATGGGGTGCCTTCTTTCTTCACTTCGGCGACGAAACCGTTGTAGTCGTCAGCGGTGTATTCGACGATTCTCTTGGTGCCGTCAGGTTCGACCAGGCTGTAGGATCCCTTGACGTATCCGTTGCCGTCGCTGTATTCGGATTGACTCTTGATGTCGTAGGTGGCGTCATCGTGTACGCTGTATTCGAAGTTGTATGGGGCTGGGGCGTATGCGGGTTCAGCGGCGTAGGATTTGGGTGCGGAGTACGGGGCTGGTGCCGAGTAAGCAGCGGGTGCTGGGTAAGCAGCGGGCGCTGGGTAAGCAGCGGGAGCTGGGTACGCTGGGGGTGCGGCAAGGGCTGAGACCAGCACGCAAGCGAAGACGGTGACGGTCTGCAAAAAAAAAAAATATATTGATGTTATTATTATCAGTGAAGCGTTTGAATAACATAATCATATCTAGTTGTAATGTGTTGTGGTAGACGACGAAAACGAATAAACCGAGAAATATTCACAGAACAGTCGGGATCAATTGTAATAACGTAAAGTCGACAGTTGCATGTTATTGATACAGATAAATAATTAAGCTGCCGTAAAAGTAGACACAAGGTTAGAACACGTCTTATTTTAACCTTAAGTAATTGGACTACTTTCTCGCAGGCGTACAACTCAAAAACGTAACATTTACTACTTTACAATTAAATTTATTGCTAAGGTTTAATGACAATAAATTTGTGATTTAATCATTTGGATTTTAACTGTCGCGAAAACATTTCGCATTTAATGCATAAGTCAAATGCCTCATGAAGTTTTTTATTATTAATTGGATATCTTTTTATTAAACATTTAAAATTTAATATTTAATTTATTTTTAATAAAAGTTGATCTTATTTATTATAAGTGTATTACAGATACCAAAACTAAGCGGTGGATAATATTTTTTACAATATAGTTAATCGACCACAAAAAAATATAAAACTAAATATTCGTTTTTAAAAATGATTATGAAATTAAAAAAATTTGAAACTTGAGTTTTAAAAATGTTAACAGAAATAAACTTCTAACTCGTTATACGCTCAACGAATTTGATGAATTTTTGTACGCGTTCCGTGATGTATGATTGTATACGCGTGATACCGAAAATTTAAACATACTTTCATTTTAACACCGAAAAACTAGTTTAAAAATGCGTCTAATATAAAATGAGTACTTACTTTGAATGCCATTGTAAATAAATAAGTTTTTTTATTTTTTTTTTTTTTTTTTATAGTTGGTTTTAGTCACTGGATGTTGACTGAGTGTTGATGTTGGCTTTCGATGATCTGGTTTTTATACTTAAAGTCAGGCATTGAGTTTAACCCCCACTGACGCTACTAGTAAGTGAAAACGATGTCTGTGAACGTTCACCACGAATGCGTTCTCCCGGCACTACATCGATGCCCGATTACTCGATTAATGTTCATACACTAGGTACCCTATAACATTTTATTTTTTAATATTTACACTTTTTTATTGTTCATAGAACCATTATCGGATATACTTTTATAAACTGTGATAATTATACAATCGTGAATTACATTTTTAGCTATTTCTTATACTACTCGATCAATTGTAAAATTATTTAATGTGTTAATCGTCAATATTTTCTCATCGACCTTTCGTTACCATCACGGAAAACGTTAGGCTTCTGGATTACAAATGTGGGTGACTTTATATTGGAAATTGTTACACTGAACCGTAGTAACACTAGTTTTTTACCTATAAGTGTAACAATTTAAAATTTGATTTGAACACTTTATAAAAGTATACTTCAATATTTTCAATTATTATTACTTAATGAATTTTCTATTTCGAATACTTTGTGTAACTACACGTTATATAATACATTTTAGACCAACATATGAACTACCTTTCATATTTGGTTCATAATTCATTTGAAACATGATTCTTTTCATTTTATATCAAAGCTCAACCTTGTCGGACTCGTTTAACATATTTAAAACTATTAGTATTCATTAGTAACATCTAGTACTACCTATAGACTTAGTAATAAATTTTAAAATTTCAATTTACGGTTTCTGTATATACTATAAAGTTGAAAGTTATTCGTATGTTTTTATGGTAATGATTATAATCTATATAATAATAATAATAATAATTGATTATTAATTAATTATTATTATTATTATTATTATTTCGAGTAATAAATAATAGTAAATTAATCATTACATTGTAAGTTAAGTATAAATTAATTCTAATATATATGTTTTATTTTATATTTTTATTTGTCAAAAAGCTATATTTATGTAATTATTTAAAACATTTAACTATTTAAAAAATTAAAAATGTAATCAGTTACATTTTCAGTATACTGAAATCCATGACAAAAAGTGTCGAAAACAACTTCATATTCTCGATGTTTTTGCCACATTTTCAAAGCTCCGAAGTATATGTTTAGACAAAATAATTTATATCCTCGTTTTTTTTTCGAATGTATAGTTAACATTAAAATGACAGTATGTTATGTAGCAATCACTACAGTAACATTGAGATATTAAGATCAACAAGAAATTCGACTGATTACAATTAATTTGTCGTTTTCATATCATGTATATAATACATTTATACTAGGAATAAGAATTACGTCTAGTTTTTGATCGTATGAACAATGAATGTATTTATTGACCGCGTTTGTGACACAATAAATTATGCGGTACATAAATATATTTATATGCATAATTGATTCATTTTAACATTCGTTTAAATATTATAAGTTTATAACCTATGAGCAGTATTTTCGATGAATGTAAATAAATACAACAACATGCTGATATAGATATAGATATAATATGGAAAATACTACTCGAAATATTCAAGGTATATTATTTTAAGATAAATAATCAATATGTATCAATGACCTTCGCTCTGAAAATGTTTTGTTCCGAATGCAATGATTCATTATTGCTTTCAATTTCAAATTTATATTAATAGTATGTTTGTAACAAATGCCCCCTAGTGAGTATAGAGATTTTTACAAGGTTTAATTCGTATCCCGACCCAACCCTATGGTATTCCGGTCACTTGCAAGCCGCAGATTTTGTTCCAAGAGTTATGAGTTCTTAGGTATCAATTTTTTTTCTCTTGATAAAAAACGAATCAATAGGTTCCTTTAATTTTCTAATAAGATTTGATATTTGTCAACAAAAAATATTCGATATTATATATATATGTTCAGAATTCGCACAATATTATAATTATATATATACATATATATATATATATTTAAAAATAGTCAGATTCATTACGGGTGTAATATCTATTACTTAAGAATTACCATTTTTTTTAGTACTCATGCAACTTTTACACATTTACTATATTTTATAATATATAATTTATACAATATTGTTTAATTTAAAAATCTGTACTGATTTTGCGGGTACATTTTTTATTTTAATAATGACGAATGAACAGAAGTCACAATAGTCAACCCAACTTTTAGGTTCCGAGTACCTACCATGGAAAATTATTACTTTTAGACATGAAATAATAATGCATCATTATCATATGCTGATAATATAATAAATGAAACTAGTTACACTTTGTTTTATATAGCGAAAATTTAAAAAAGTTTAGCTTAATTAAAAAAAAATATAATTACCTAGGAGTTTATTTTTTTATTTTATTTTTTATCAAAATTAATTATAATAGTTATACGATTTTAGACAAATAGGCGAATATTCACAATAGTTTGCCGATTGGTTTAATGCATTTATTTCGTTCTTTGACTTTACGTTACCATTTTTTCTTTCTTTTTTTTTTTTTGTTATAGTAACCCAAACTGGTAAGAGGCTTATACAAAGAGCTTCAGAGTAGAGACCAATTTCCTATTATACTACTTTTAACTATCTTGTTTACATAAAAACAATTCAACGGTGTCTTTTTTTATGTTGTCCCAGGGCGGTAATGTGGTATTAAAGTTCAACCTCTGACACGTGCACTGACAGGTATTTACGTGTAGTTCGTCGTGTCGTAAATAGGAAACAATAACGATAACGAAATGACGATAACCTTAGATCTGCAACGCCTAATATGATGGATAATTTCATAAACTTTGACGTTGAAAAAAATGAATAGGTAATTCGTCGCGAATCAGTACACGAGACAAGATCTATAATGTAATAAAACTCATTTCCGACACGGCCATCCAACAGCTAACGTACGACAGCTCGTAAAACTGTGCGCTATACGAGTAGGTACCCATATAATAATTATATAATTATATAATTAAACAACAATTATTGTTTTATTACTTTGTCGGACCTTATTAAGCTGTCCGAGCATCCTAATGAGAGAATGCGTTGAATGTCGAAACTTTGTGTTGCCGAAAAAAATGTGAGACCTACTATATCGTTATATAGCTATGTTTAGACATGGGATACTGTATAACCAAAATTGTTTAAAAAAGTACCGGCGGCGAGTAAGTCATGTGTACTAACTGTTGGATTTAATCATTAGCTACCGTAATCTGTTCCCACTGCGAAATAGCATTTTGGCGATGCTATATAAGAATAAATAGTCAATGCACTCACGTACAATACAAATCAACATATGTTACAAAATCAATTCATTTTATTTACCTTTCTACATGATATTTTATGTGAATTTGAAAGCAAGCATTTTTAATGATGGGCAACAATATCGAAAATTCGATACGATATCGATACTGTTTTGTGTTGTACGATGTATTTGTATATCGAAATTTATACTTTATTTGTAGGTCTCAGTTAACATATACGATAAATTGTACTGTGCTGTATGTACGAAATGTCATCGTAACGAAGATCCGCTTAAATGATGGAAAAAAATTCAAATTTAAACCCAGAAGTATCAGTATTGGTGAAAAAATACTTGCCGGTAGTTACTACTAGTGTCCCAAGTGAAGGTCTGTTTAGTAAAGCTGGCAATTTAACTTCAAATAATAGAAGTAGACTACTCCAGATCGAGTTAACAATCTTCTTTATTTAAACTCGTATTATAAATCCACTAGAATATCTGACCATACTCTGATAAGAAATCTACATACATTTTCATTTTTGATTGAAAACAATAACCAAATAGTTGTAAATTTATTTAATAGAATACAGCTATCGGGTTTGAAAATTAAACGCATGAACGCATTAAACGCTATTTTTAATAAAATAGTTTTAATTTTTCATAACATTTATATTAACATTATATTTTTTTGTCTAAATATAATTAATTCTTTTTTTCTTATCTTCAACTAGGAAAAGCAAATTCTTGAATTAATAATGATTAATAAGTATCAACTAATTAAGTACTAAATATATAATATTTCAAATGTGTTTTTTCGAAATTTTCGATACGATATCGATATCGTACAACTTACGATATTAGTAAGTACGATATGCGATACGATATCGGAAAAATCGGAACTCAAATATTGATACACAAAATTATATCGATGCCCATCACTAAAAATTGTAGAAATATTGAAGATATTTGGAATATTCATGTCCGGTACACATCAATTGTAAGCCATAATATTTAATTGTACTACATTAATTATAACATCGAAAATATTATAATGTGTACTACATCGTCGTGATATCTTAGTTGTTATCACTAGGGCTGGGATTTCGATGCACTTTGCATTCTTTTCTGAAGCTTTCTGTACGATGCTCGCTTTGTTACAAATATGTTTTAGGAATTTTTAAATTAGAATAAGAAATTTAATTTTGCATTTTTTTGCATTTTATGACATTTTTTGATTTAAATGTCATTTTTCTCATTTTTAGAGCATTTTAAGGGTTTTTAAGTCATTTTTGGTGTTTTTTTAATTTAAAATTATAGATTATAGATTTTTTCTACTGACGGATTAGTGTTGTTGTGTAAGGTATACAATGTAAAAGTTACTGTTGAAAACCGTTTTACCATACAACAACATATATCAAGAAACAAACATACTAATGGAGTACAACGAAAAGAACAAATTGAAGAACAAGAAAAAAATATGTACCTATATTTACAAAAACTTATTGGGGAACAACATGAGGCACGCTCTCGTGATTTATTGTAACAATTAAGAATAATTTTTTATTTATTAATATATGAAGTATAATAAAATATTTATGTAAATGTAATTTAATTTTTTTTAAATTTTAAAGGCATTTTTTAATACATTTTTTGAGTTTTTTAAGTCATTTTTGCAATTTTTTAAGGTCAATTTTCGCGGTTTTTTAGAAAATTAAAATCCCAGCCCTAGTTATCACGAATGTTCGCATACAAAATATTTTATTGCAATTATCCGCATTTTCGATACCTATTACAATACGTACACTTTACTATTTAAATATTAACACATATTATAAGATTAATAATTTCTTAACAATGCTTATTCATATTTTTTTTCGTATACGTTTTTTTTTTCGCAATATAAAGGGTGTACGTGTGACAGTATTTGTTTCTCATAGAAAAAAAAAGTATTTCTGAGTTGCGACTTGATGACCTTTAGCCACGCCTAAGGGCCATAGATCTAACATGCGAGGGAAATGAAACAGGTGCCGAACACTCAAATACCGTACAACATTACGGTATATACTGTAATATAAGTAATACTGTATATAATAAACTTTTTAAAATTAATCATTTTGAAATCACATTTTAATTTTGATATTTTTTTAGTTACACATTACTCAATACATGCTTTGATTTGTATGTATTTTGTCCCGCAGGCATTGTTAATTATTTTATTGATTTACCAATAGACATAGATTGCTGAAATAGAACACGTTGGTATTTTTTGAAAGCTCCGTTCAACCGACTCAAGTTATCATAAACCACGTCATGGAGTAATAATCTATAATTAATTTTACTTGTTTGAAGTTCAATTATATAAATTGTTTTTCTGACTTGAATCATAAAATATAACGCCTATAGTCAGTTGACCAATGTATAGTCAACTATCACCACTATAGGCACTAGATAAAGTTGTATAATTTCTTTAATATAAAAACTAGAACAGTGACTAACAAACCCTTGAATCATTAGAAGTATAAATAATGAAATAATATAGTTATTATAATAACTCATAACAAATCTAAATATTGTGTAATTATATAATTACTCATAGCTAAAAAAAGAAATTCAGTAGTATACTTAGATCAAATATTTTGTCCTTCATCGTTTTGCTCTAACGGAATGATGTTGGTCGTGAATGTACAGGGAGTGAGACGCAACTCGAACTTTGTACAAATCATATAATTTTTGTGCAATTAAAAGCAATAATTGTATTTTGTAGAACAATTTCGAGTGAAGGTCAGAGAAAGAAATATACAAAATCAGTATTTTTTCATTAAATAATTTTACCCAAATGTTTTATGTAATAAACTATTTATATTTGTCATACAAAAATATTATTAATAATCTTATATAACCAAAAGTTATAGGTAATTTATATATTATTTATATATATTATTTATTATTTAATTTATTATTAAAAATATATATTTATATAATAACAAAAACTGCATTTATTTCAAACATTTGAGTTAAGATCTTTGAAATTATTATTAAAATACAATTTAATGTATTTAAATGAAATTTTAGCTTTTGTAATTACTATAACTTTTAATTACATGAACGAATTAAAATGTGTACCTAATAAATTCCTAATTTTACTTAACATTTTAGTTAAATTTTTCCCAAAAATAAATTCGTTTTTAGTTTTAATATTTTCATTTTATTAAAGAACTATACTTTGATTTATAACTCAATAACGTTTTTAATATTTCTGGTTTTTATTTTTAATTTTTAAATTAATTTATTTTAATATAAAATTAGCTCATTTACATCTGGTGTTCATTGAATATTTTTGATTAAAAAGTAATGGATTTTTAATTTTATCCAAAATATACTTCTATAGTATAATAAGTGAAATATTTTGTTATGCAGCGGAAATCAAAAATAAATATAATATTATTTTTAAAAATTAGGTACCGATCTAGATTGGAGATTCATTAATAGTAAATCACATTAAATCAATTATACTTGATAAAGACAAATTAATATTTAATCAAAAAAAAAAAAAAAACTGTTATTATTATATCGATGATCAAGTTATTCAGATTACAACTATACCATTTATATTACGTTTATAACAGATTTTGAATATTTCATTAAATGTATTCATTTATACAAATTTAAAAATTAACTAATGTAAAAACAACTGATAATCTAGAAGCGATTTTAGTTTTAGAAAAAAAGAAAAAAATTGATTGTATTTGATACAAATAACTTGTAGTAACATGAGCGGATCCAGGGATGGAACACTAGGGACAAGTCCGATGGAAAAAATAATATTAAAAATAAACTATACTTAAAAGAATTAAATAATAGATAAGAAAAATAAATATTAAACATTTTAGTACAATATTGTTACTTTTTTCTTTTTTTTTTTTTGCGAGGGAGAGTTATGCTCACTCCTAAGATAATTCTACATATTACTATGATCAGCTATATTATATCATTTATAGTATAAAATGCTCTAACCGTAAATTAATACTGGATCCGCCTTTGTGTTGTAGGGATATGTTAATCAATACTTCAAATCACTAATTAATAAAATAAAAATTATTGTGAATCATAGGACAATTATAATTATGCACCTAAATTATTAATAAAATAATGAAATTTGAATACATTTTATAAATCAAAATAATATTATCAAATATTCATCATACGAATAAAAAAATACTAAATTAAATAATAAAAAAATTAAATTTCATTTAATATCATTTTAGTTTTCAAATTTTTTTTTTAAGTCGAATATACACAAATATAGGTACATTTTTCCTTATCAAATACATTCATTGTTTTTTTTACAAAGTATAACCAATTATCGTTTTAACTAGTAAATCACATATTCTTAGGATTATTTTTAGATTTGAAAATGATTTTAATGTGTATGTAATGTTCGTTTACTATTTAATGTTAGCTAACATTAGAAAAATTAAAAAAGTTACACTTTTAGTGATCTAAATCTTGCAATACTCGTAGATCAAAAGGATATGTACTCATTTAATTTAGTTATTTTTTATGAAAGATACGGTGAATATACCCTCGTTAGATAATCTTTTGGTTTTTCAAGTTATATTAATAACGTTTAACAATAGTCAAATTGTATATATTTTTATACAAAAATTTAAAAATATAGATACATTTTATATTTTTAAATTCGAATTTCATTGATGTATTAATTTGTTAGAAATCGTAAAAAACACGTAAAGAATTTGTTATTAAAAAAATAATGAAGTATATTATAATAAGTTTACTGCAATATAGTTTTTACAGCATTTATTTTTCTTTGATTTCTTATTTAAAATACATTGAAAAACGAAAATAACAGTACAAATACCTAAAACAATTAAACTATAAATCATAAATAATATAGTCTTATCGGGACAACTATTAAATACACACGAAGTTCAAAGAGGTGATTTAATTACTAATATTTAATTATTGATTATTAGTTACTAGTGTTATATTTTTGACAATAATTACTGTCGATCGATCGCAATTAGTTTACGCAAATAGTAAACCTGTTTCATCATGGCCTACAGTCGATGTAGGCATTCGATATTACCTAGTACTCATTTAACTTCACTATTTTTAATAGCGTAAGTAATATTGTATAAATGAGTTGATTAAATTGAAGGCTTGGAATAACTAGTATACAAAATATAATGAGCCTTGAATTAAACACAGTCCAATTCAATTAATTCTAATTTAATAAGCTTTTATACTTAATATTACTATTATATTATTTTTATTACGCATTTCCACTTGGGTCAGTGATCAACCAGCATTGTGTTCACTGAAAATTATACAATACAATATTAGCCGAGCATTTCTCATAACAATCGATTTCTTAAATAGGTCTGTACAATGTGTATACGTACTCGTATAAACAATGTACTCGTGCAGATACGTACAATCGAGTAAAGATATTTTGTAATTATACATTTTTCAATATTTTTATATTTTTATTTTCACAAAAAAACAGTACCACAATTTTTATGATCATAAGTATGATTAATTTCTAGTGCCATCGAACAATTATGTTCAAACAAAATATACTTCGTTTTTAGTATGTCAGTTTTTATTAAGAAAAAGGTACGACTTATAAAATAAAATAAAATCCGTTTGAAGTTGAAGTATTTCGATATGCACCTTTGATACGTTCTACCTAACATCACGAGCTATATGAACTCTGGTATTACACTGAATATTAGTCCAGTTTAATTACTAATTTGATTTCTTAATACAAACCTCCTATTTGATATGAATAATTATATCTGCCATCAGCAATACATACTATATAATTTGTACGCGTAAAAAAAGATAACGTGTTCATAATATTCAGTACAACGTTCATTTTATAGAATAATTTTTAGAATGCGAATATGAGGGATAAGTAGAATAAAAACAAGTTTATTTTATTAACACATTGAAATTTTATTTACATAAAAATACAATAAATTATTTTTCCAGCTAATTGCTTCAAATTAGTATGCTGGGGCAGATGGGTAAACTGGAGCAGCTGGGTAAGTTGGGGCAGCTGGGTAAGCTGGTGTGGAGTAAGCCGGTGCAGAGTAAGCCGGGGCGGAGTAAGCTGGCTTGTAAGCTGGCTTGTAGGCTGGGGCAGAGTAAGCCGGAGCAGAGTAAGCTGGCTTGTAGGCTGGGGCAGCAGAGTAGGCTGGGGCAGCGGAGTAGGCTGGGGCAGCGGAGTAGGCTGGGGCAGCGGAGTAGGCTGGTGCAGCTGGGTAAGCCGGGGCAGCTGAGTAGGCTGAGGCAGCTGGTGCCTTGTACGCGGGCTTGTAGGCCGGGGCGGAGCTGTAAGATGGGGTGCCTTCTTTCTTCACTTCGGCGACGAAACCGTTGTAGTCGTCAGCGGTGTATTCGACGATTCTCTTGGTGCCGTCAGGTTCGACCAGGCTGTAGGATCCCTTGACGTATCCGTTGCCGTCGCTGTATTCGGATTGGCTCTTGATGTCGTAGGTGGCGTCATCGTGTACGCTGTATTCGAAGTTGTATGGGGCTGGGGCGTATGCGGGTTCAGCGGCGTAGGATTTGGGTGCGGAGTACGGGGCTGGTGCCGAGTAAGCAGCGGGCGCTGGGTACGCTGGGGGTGCGGCGAGAGCTGAGACCAGCACACAAGCGAATACGGCGACAGACTGTAAAATAATAAATTACATAATTAAAGCGTTTGTACAGTTTTGGATAATTAAAATATCATCTATAATTATAGATCTCATTTTGTCTCTTCGATGGACGAAGACATGATTGCGATCTAGTTGGGTATAGTGTGTGTATTATAAGTAATTCGTATTAAGTTATGAAACGGTTTTAAAATAAGTAGGTGCAAGGCCAGATCGAACCTTCCGTTAACCTTATAATTAATTGAATTACTTTCTCGTGGGTGCATTTGCCGGATTAACCGCTATCCTATAATGACGCCACACCGACTCACCCGAAAACCAATAGCTGTATCAAGTGTAATTATATACGACATAACTAAAAAAAACGTGATTATGTTAATTTACGGTTCGAATGTGGAGATCGCACTACATTTTTCTAGCATACTAGCACGTATCGAGACAAATGCAATTGGTTAAGATAAAAATTCGTGTTGACGTAATGTCGTGACGAACTTGTTACAAATTCGGACAAAAGTTTGAATTGTACCTGACGGGGTCGCGTTTTTTGACGAGTAAAATGTGGTTGAGAGTTGAAAAAAAAATCGAAACTACTAATACCCAACGAAGTTGTTGAACTTAACTGGTATGCGTACCTAAAGGATTGCCCGGGTTCAGCGCTGTATTCCGAGTACAACCAAAAAAACATGAACCCGCGTTATATTAATGTTAAATTTATACAGTGCCATGTGTACTTACTTTGAATGCCATTGTAAATAAATAAGTTTTTTTTTTTGCTTTTTGTGTGTTGAAGTCACCGAACGTTGTTGATTGAGTGTTGACTTCGATGAACGGTATCGGCTTTATATAGGTACGTTTAATCCGCTGCCGCCGACGACGACAACAGCTGAGTTCTCGCCCCATCCGGGCTCAAGGGCACGCTACCGTTCACGTGTGCCTACGTGCCGCGCGAGGGCGTACCCGGTGCAGCCGGTGAGTTGCGCGACACCGCCACGGCGAGGGGATTCGAGGGTCTCCTCCGGGCGAAATTTTATCGAAACGGCGACACCAAAATCAGGTTATTATACCACACACACGCGCGCGCGCGTGCACGTTATTATTATTTATTCGCGTCAAATTGGGCCGAATCGTTACAATAATAATATAATAACGTGCACCTTATACGCATATTGATTAACG